TCAATTGGGCATTCAATATGATATATTAAGCTGTTTCGAAGCGTGTTTCTTTAATACATAGGTTGCTTTCCTATATGAAAGAGTAATGCTTTCACTATTACTTAATATCCTAGATAATTACATAATTTTTCACAATTATTTCATTATTTTCTGTACTTTTTCAATATGTTATCAAACACAGCATATAAGAACTTTTGCGGCTTTGCAAGAATAACCTCTTTCCTTCTATGTTGATAAATGGGATGTTACGAAGGCAGAAACAGCAAAACAGCATTCTCCATACTGTCTCTGCCAGATTTTACACTTAAGTACCGCCAAAACTTGTAAACTTGCTCAAACATGTTCCGTTTATGAAAATGATGCTATGTTCCAGGTACAGAGAATGGGGTTCCAAAGTCAATTACTACACACACCACACGGCGTTAGGTCGCCCGTTTTGAAGGAAAATTTAAAGGGAGCTCAGACTTCGCGTTTTCCAGTTGCTCCAAAGAAATGAAGCCATTTCTGACAACTCTAATCTAGGTGAGACGTGAGTTTGTTGATAATTGCCTCACCTTAAATGACTGAGCGCTCTCTCGAGAGGTCGCGACTATTGTATAATGACATCAACGAAATTTTGGAAAGGAAGCTTTGAGCAATGGTGAATTGCGCTTGTTTGGCGTACCGCTGCATTTTAAAATAATTCGCTTTTCAAAATTCTAGGAAGTCGCAGTTGCAACGACTTATGAGAAGTTTAGACATAAACTGGTTTTTGATGCAATATTTCATTTCTTAACTAGAAAAGTAAAATGAATGACTTAGGTAAACTACGAGAAAGGTTTTGTGAAACAAAGAAATTGCTTCCGGTCATTGTCATAAAATTGCGGAGATTGAGCGTTAGGAAGAAATCCAGAGAATTGTATAACAGCCTATTACTATGTAGTAAAATAAAATAAAACATTTTTGATATTGCGGTTCTAATTAAAAAGGACTGCTAAATTTTCGAGTATTTTCAAAGCTATGATATTTAAAGCAGAGTATTGAGACGCGTAACTCGTGTGACTGTAAACAAAAAATGGAAACTACTTTTCGAGCGATCATTATCACTGAAAGTCACCTTTTTTGTACTTGGAATTGGTAGACACCGCTGACTTGACTATTGACGCTTTAAATGACTGCATCTTATCGGATAC